AGTCATAGGAATGATTCTGCAGGACTTAAGAAGGGTCAAATTCAGTTGTCCTCAACCTGAGCTCATAAAATAGGCTGGACCCTAGCCAGCACTTTGCTCTTAGGTGTATTTCCATGCATCCAGGAATGAGAGAGAAGTGTTTGCACTTGACCTGCACAGTGAGCTTGGGAAAAGCCAGCCTTCCTAGCTCTGAGTCGACTGATTGTGCTTCCTCAGCATCCCACCAGTCACTGCCCCTGACCTAAGGGGTCTGCTCAATGAGGCCTATCCAGAATACTTCCCTTCCCCAAACTCCCATCTTTACAGTGGCCATATGTACCCTTCCCCTTGACATATACCGCTGCCCTCACTCTCCCACTAAATAAGCTAGGCCTGAGCAGCATCTCTTCAGCTACTTCAGGGAAAAAAAAAAAAATCTGAAACCATGACCCTCATTTTCAGTAACGTGAGCATTCAGCTCCCACTCACACCACTTAAAATCAGGCCACAAATCTGTTCCTTTTTACATCTACAGATGGTTGCTTTATCTCCCTACAGATGGCATCCTGAAGTCAAGGCAAGTGGCTTTCATGCAGGACTCCACAACTTCTACTTGACTACTTGACAAAATCTGATACAAGCTGAAATGTAGTCTTCCAAGGAAAGGCAAAAGGCTACACGTGTGGCAAAAATCCTTTATTAAACTAGATTTTGTAAATTCCTTTTCACATTAGAAATTCTAAATGCAAATTACAAAACTGTATTTCAGTAAAAAATGAAAGTTATAGTTAGCAGCAAAATTACAACTTTTTACAAATAAAAAAATCAATTTTTTTTTAATTTAAAAATAGACATTGACATCTTCCAACATACTGGTCCTAACAGCTTTTGGTTACAACTGGTAGCTGCAATGCACATTCACATGTAAGTCATTTAATCCTCTGCAGTTTGTTTAGCTGAAACAGCATGAACAGTTGGGCTGCGGTTGGGTTTTGCGTGTCGTTTAAGAGTACATGATACTTGGAATTGTGGTAAGTCGATGAACTCTTCCTTGTTACAGCGTTCATACTCTATCATCCCAGCTCTGCAAAAAGGGCAATATTATTCTGGAAATGTGAACTGCATTTGAAGACATAAGTATCAGTAACGTCAAGTTTATGTAAAATTTTTCATATTACATTTATGATGATCCTTCTTTGCCATTATCAAAAATTAAATTACTCTTTTGTCTACCCACCATGTTTTGTGGCAAGATGAAATCTGTTGGTTACGTTTCACCTTTTTAACTAAAACCTAAAATACGTGTTCTGCTAAGCACGTAAAGATCTTCCCTGCCACTGTAGGTATTGACAACAGTGATGTTTCCGATGTTCTAGTTCTAGAAGTGTTCTAGATTATGACTAGAGCATCTGGACATCGTTTAAATGGGTATTCCTAAGTCACAATGGTTTCCAACAGCCACCAAAAAATGACAGTTAAACTTTGCCTGAGGTGCCCTTCAATAGGCTTATAAAAACATTAAGGTTAAATAAAATAGTACCAACTTGCTATTAAAAGCAAAAGCCCAAGTTATTAAATTATTATCAAAGTATCTTGAAATATATTTTTTTAAAATCAGATTTGCCCTACTACTTTCATAATCAACTGAAATATATTTTTAAACACATTACTTAGGAGAACAACTTGCTTCATTGCACCTCTGGCCCTTTTTTTTTTCTTTAGTATAAGATTACTCATCAATGCTACTCGTCACAAGCATTAAGTTTTGTATTAAAAAAAAGATAAATTTTTACACATTAAAAATCAGGATGTTATAATGTTTTGTTAGAAAGAAATCAAAAGTGTCATATTAAAGGCTACCAGTCATCACAACCACATGCTGTTGAAGAATAGAATACAAAGTGGTACACAAAATAGGTATCTTAGGTCGTATGTTATTTCAGAGTGCTGGTGGCAATACTGTTGAGTGCTACTTTAATTAAAAGATGATACAGAATTTACATGATACCTCAGGATCCTCACTGATGTAACTGCAAAAGACATCAGAAAAGCTAGAAGTTTTAAAATGTAACCTACTTTGAAATACCATTTTGAAACAATTATATTTTATATAATCCATACACAATACATTATAAAAATAGTCAAAGAAATGTAAGAAGTCCAGTGTTTTGTTTTGTTTTTTTCCTGGACGGTTTGGCAAGTAGCTGAAAGTGTGGATATCCTTAATAATAAAAGTCTACTTTCTTTCTCTGTGCACTGATATCTGCTCCATTCTGTATCCAGCTCAGCATAGTTTCCCAGTGCGTGCTTAAGCTCCTACAGAAGAAAAAGGCTGAGCTCATCAACTGTTCTCAGCCAGCACCCAAAGGGACAATGGAGAAAGAGAGAGAAGTACTCCAAATTGCTCCTCAGCTACGTACTCCTCTGCTCACTTGGACAGACTGGAGAAAAACTCCCCTAGTAAGGGGTAGAGCTGAGGTTTTGCTCTGAACATTTGTTACACATTTATCCAAGTAAGACTAAGAAACAAAAAAATAATGTGGAGGGACACTGAAGCTCAGCGGGAACAGCTGCTCTTCTGAAAAGGCCTAGCCCTCTTCCAGAGGCAGTTTATGCACTTTTTATTCTTTCACCCCTTTTGTCTCCTTGATTTGGCATTTTTAGCTTGCAGTGGTGATTTTGAAAGAAGCTCAGGAAGTGGCAACTTCAAGAATACCCCTGAGCACACCAGTTTGGAGCACTTTCTGGGGAAGTGAGAGTCAAGCGTAATTGCTGTCCCCTGGCTAGGCCAGAGGAAGGTAAAAAGCTGTGTCTCATCTCCAGGGTAAACTTGTCAACAACTAGATTATGACAAACAGATGGGCAAGCAACTTTTTCTGCTGTCTTTTGAGCTGAAATCTAAGCTGTCTTTGTCCATGGTAAGCATGGCGTGAATGTGCCGAGTGAATCAGGGCCCCTCCCAAAACAACTATAAGCATTGACACTTCCCTGTTTACCAGCACACCGCTGTAGGCTTGGGCACCAGGCAGCTCAGCACACACCACTTCTGAGCATCCACTGCCTTTGCTGGGCAACTCAGCCACCAGGGGCAACTAGCAGGGACCAAGGTTTAAAGAGCTGCCCCAGAGAGCTGCTCCTCCATTAGCACTAAGGAAAACCCGTTCAGGAGCAGAAGGATGTTCTGTAGTCCAGGAGAAAGATGCTGGCTCCAGTGGGGCACTTCTAGCATCTGCAACCCTGGACAACTGATAGTCTGAACTGCTGTCTCAAGTCCAAGTGCCTGAAGGGCATTTCAGTCCATTTTAAGCACTGACACAGAGGATAGAGCATGGGCTTCACCACATAGGACATCATGTGGTGGCAGAAACAGCTATGCTAGTGCTGAGGAGCACTGATCTTTTGTGTTTCATCCACTGGTTACCAGAGCAGTCCAGAGAGAAAGAACAAGAGAAGGACACAATTCAAATGAACTAAATACCCACAAAAAATATAAAACTTATTATGACAGTCTATTATCCCAGTAACAGTCCCTTTGATTAAATAGTTTTCAAGCTATTCTTCCACTTGAAATCATCATGAGAAGATTATGGTATCCACTGAAGCATGACAAACTCATTTTTAAATCCACCATAGAGAGCATTCACTGTGGATATATTACAGTAAATATGGGTATGCAGGAAACATCACATCTTTCAGTTTGTCAGCAACATACATACACATTTTCAAGTGAAACTTATTTCTGTGCGCAGCTTTTCTGTCAAAATTTCCTTGCTTATTACTACCCATGCACACAAATGGCAGAACTTGCACACACGTGGATTCATATACAGATTCTATGTGCATGTAGTTAGTAGATAAAATTTACTGCAAAACTGGCTTAACACGAAAAAGCCCTCCCATTAATCCTTAAACTATTAATATTATTCCTACTACAGAACTCATACCTGTTCTGAAAAAGCCTTACAAGAAAAATTAAATTATTTGTAGTAAGAAATGTATATGCTTTTCAAGAGGCAAAGATGTAATTCAAAACAGTAATGCATTATAGAATATATTTCTATTTTAAAAAATGTTCCGATTGCTTACTGAAAAAAGTACACATTTATATTTAACTAGGGGGTGGTAGGTTTTTTTTGTTGTTGTTTTGGGTTTGTTTTGTGTTTTTTACACAGGTATTTCTAGATGCTGATGCAACACCACCACCAACAAAATAACTTTTGTACTGCCACATTTTCCAGTTAGGCAATTACTACTGTAGTATTAGTACTCACTTTGAAGTTAAAAATACTTTTTAAATGCCTCACAGACAAACATTTTCTACAAGGAAATCACCAAATTTAATGCATACAGAATGAAGACACCTGTAAAGTGAAACTACTCAATTCGTTCCATAAAGGAAACCATAAAGGAAGAAATACTCTTAATCCAGTAGATGTTGAAAAAATAAGGGCATTTTCTGCAAAATTACAGTATTATCTATGTGTAACTAGAGACACAGTCCTTTATATGCAACTTCTATCAATATCAGGATAAGTTTAGAATGGATTAAGGACAAAAAGAACTGGTCAGCCCATCACAAAATCACCACTAAGAAAAGACTATTTCAGGCTGTTGAAGAAGCTTTTGAAATATTTAGCACTCAGCTGTAACTGGATTTGAAATATCAGTAGTTGCTGAGTTCTCTCCTACCCTGTGCTCTTCTGAAGGGTTTATGACAAAAGTTCTGAATCAGAAAATAATGCCATACAAAGCACTATGTTTTAAAAGCACAGAATCCACAGCAATTAAAATGTGTGAGGGAGGGTCAAAACACACATTCCGTGTATGCTAAGACAGTTAAATTTTTAAATTGTACCTTAACTTCCCTTTAAAACATACTGCTCAGCAGAATTCTTAATCTGCAATTTCTGAGACTTGAAATCCTGTAAGTGTCTTCTTTTAGCAGGTTCAAAAAAGGATCCATTTCACACAAAATTTTTCTTGGAAATATCCCAACAAAACCACTTGGTGTAAACTGAAGCCATTTCTAATAAAATACTGTCCTTTAAAACAGATTACAAAATACTACTGCAGTTCTTCAAGAAGTTTTTAGCTGTAATCTGACACCTTAGTTTCTATATCCCTCTTTGCTTCTTGACAACCCTTCAATTCAGCATGACTTTCAGGCAGCCTGGTTTTACTTCTGTGAACCTGTGAAACGAGAAAAGATGAAGCTTCAGTATGAAAGCTCTGTGCAACAACATCTCCTTCAGCCCTCATCAAACATATGGGAAGAGATAAGGTTCTCAGTCAAGTATGCGTGCATGTGAGAGTCAGGAAATCAGCATCATGTCCCCTGGATGTGGCAGTGAAGGAACGTTTTACAGGTTTTACAGGGTCTGGAGAGGTGAAGAGCTGGAAATGGCAGAAACTAAGAGGAAGATTTAAAAACGTTTTCACGTTCCCCTTTCATTCCCTCTTTTTTCAAAACTGATTTTCTCCCTTTCTTCTGTAGAAAGTAAAAAGCAAATGAGAAGGGAAAAGACTTAGCTATTTCCAAGTCCCACCTTCACACACTCCTGTAAAGAAAAGCCAGCAAACACACTGATGCCAGCCCAGACCTGCTCAATTGCTGTCCCACAGAAGCACCTGAGAGCTAAAGCAGGTATTGGAGACCAATAAAAAGCAGGATTAAGAGCTGTTCACAATGAAGCTAGCAACCTTGAATGGAAAGATGTAATTAATCTATGTTAGGTAAGTGTAATTCATAGTGTTTTCATCTATCTTAGAGTAAAGGATCTACTATATTTAATAGGCATCTTGTACAAGATGATTTTGTGTCACACAGTTGCATTGGATATATGAAACAGCAGATGTGCCTTAAACTGAAATGGCAGACCTGCCTTAATCTGTTCAGCAGTTTAACAGCATTCTAAAACTATCTCAACTTTTCAGTTAGCTAAATGTGGGTTAAGAAAAAAAAAAAAAAACTATCAGTAACAAAAATCTAAACTCACCTGAAGTTGTGGCTTGTGAGGTATCTGATAGCTGCTGGTCTAATGCGAGCAACTCCTCCCTGACTATGGCTTCCTCTTCCCGTGATGACAGAGAGATATGGTTTACCACCAGTCTGCTGGTACTCTGCAAGAGCAGGGATGGCAACGGTTAACATTCGCCCTCCCTCCATCCCTCCTCCTGAAAACTCTCACTAGTGGTTCAGAACTTGGCTCTCCCATGCTGGCTATGCATCTTTTACATAAGCATAAGCATAGCTGTTTCCCCCCTCTTCTGAAACAGATATTCTGAAAGAAATGTCAAGCCTTTTAAATCTAGATGGCTTGAAATACACATGTTGTAATCATCACAAAATCCTTCTAATTTCATAGCAGCTTTACTGTTTCTATCACCTAATCTTCACTTGGAATTTACATCCTGTGATGTAGATCACAATTGCAAAATTGGAAGAGGTGGGTTAATACAGTTATTTTTAACTCTCTCTATTCCACGTTTTATCTTAAATTCATGTGAATAAAGAAATAATATTTTATTGGATAAAGAAGGAGGAAAATACAAATCTACATAGTTTTTGACATTCAATTCATGCTTATTTGGGCTGACTTCTGCTATATTGGAGCACGTGCACCAACAGATCAACACATCACATGAGGTTTATTAGTGCATCTAGCCCTGGTAACAAAAGAAACTGTTCTTCTCTCAGGTATCACAGCAACCTAAATTGATGAGGAGTTTGAAAAAGAAGAAAAAGTATAAATTTAAACTGTATTATCACAAGTCCAGATTTGCTTGTTCAGGATTATGAGTTCACATCTCTCTCTCTCACACTTAACTTTATTTAGGTTTTGTATTAATTTACTGTTACTTCTGCCCAAACTAGAGTGCTTGGTACTGATACCTTTGTCATGTATGCATACTGAAATAACCCCCCCTTTTTTTTAGATTTAGGTGAAATGGACTGAACTGAGAGTCTCTACCATCGTTACAGGACTCCTGATTTAAGTGCAGTTTGGGAAATTTAGCTCTAAAAAGCATCAGGTTACAGCTTAAGTTATATAAACATCAGTTCGGGAACAGCACAAGATAATGCAATTTAATTCTCTCTGATGCATATTGAAAGAAAACTATTATCTAAGGCCCCACTGAACACTTTTGTTTCTACTCTGTGGAGCAGATGTTTCAAAAAATCAGGTTTGTGCAGCAGCACCTTGCATGAGAAATTTCTTATAAAACCATTCCCAGTGTGCTTAAATTTATAGGGTGAAGTAATAATGCAGAAAATCCATATTTTTACAGCAAGAACATGAAGCATGAAGTACTTCAACACTCCATTGGAAGAAAAAACAAGCCCTCAAGCAAAACTGCACAAAATTACATTTATGGAAGCAGCAGTCTTCTGATCTCAAGAGATCCTGCTGACAAATTGATACAGAAGTTACTGAAAGATAGCTCAAAAAGACACTGTCATGTAAAAGCTGAAGACAATACAATCATTGTGGTTAGAATTCCAAGGTAATGACTTTTCGTTAAAGATTAAAAAAACAACATCATTCTGACAAAGCAATGCAAGGACGACAAATGTCTGCATTACTACCTTTGTTAAAAAAGCCAGGAAGGATAGATCATGTCTTCAATAGGAAAAGTAAAGGATAAAACAGAATTAAAAGAACCATTTACGAAGAAACACTGGGTGGGCAAGCCAGAGTTAAAAAAACATTGCCATGTCAAAGAAAAACAAAAGAAAATAAACCAACCAAAAAGCCAGCTGTTTTTACATGTTATTAAACCATATTCATTCCCTCTGATATTGCCATATATCATTATTTCTTTGTAGAAAAAGAGGGAGAATAACTTTTATGGGGCATGAATTACTAGCTTATACCTACCTTCACTTTTTTCCTGCAGCACTCTGGACAACTGATTCACAGCTTCATCCACATGAAGACCATGGAGATCCAACACATTCATAGGCAGCAAGGCAGCATTTACTTTCTCAAAGATTTGCACAGCAGCAGCATGGTTGGCTTCTTTCATCTTCTGCTCGTGAAGGTGACCCTTTATTCATAAGGACAGGAACTATTACGTACCAAGGCATAATCTAAGCTGCATGGTGCTTGTTGGTGTAGTTCAAAACTACAGTACTGGCAGGGTGCTTTTAACTCACAGCTTGAAGGAGTAAAATTTATAATCACAACAGAACTTCCAGAAGAGGCTCAGTGAGACCTACTTGCAAGGAGATTTCTCAAAATCTGTTCTTAAGAAACTACTCAAAGCTGATGCAAAGGAAAATTTATAACAAAAGCCTTACAAAGTGAGGGAAAAAAAGCAAGAAGAGGCACAAAAACACAAGGTCTTTACATAAGCTATAAAGCTACATTCCATGCCAATTTTCAAATTTATTATCCTAACAATAGAATTTTGCAAAAAACAGAATCTGCAAATAATTTGCTAAAAATGTAATGAAACAATGTAAAAGAAACTGCCCAATATCTCAGGGAAAACCTACCGACTGTTATGGTTGAGGTTAATTCTTCTGAACACATTCCTTAAAAATCAGACAAGCCAAAGGCAAGCACTTTTAATTTTTTAAAATTTTTTTTTTTTTTTTTTTTTAAATAGCTGCCTGTTATCTCACCTAGTATTTTTGTCAGATCTCTCATGACTGACAAGGTCAATACAGTTCCTATTGGAATCTGGGGCAAGGAGCAGTACAGGGTTATTCACATTACACAGTGAACAAGTACCCACCATTTCCCATGAACCTTGCAGGGATAATATGTGAGAAACTGAAACAAACTGAAGATCTTTCAAGATCTGTAGGCACAGTCTGAAAAGGCATATAAAACTTAACTCCAGGTATTGGACTGACAAGGGCTCAAGAGAACAGAAGTAACAGTGTCTTACACTTTCTTAAAATGCATCGTCTGAAGTGTATTAGTCTCAGACCAGAGACACCAGCCCTGTAACTCACTTGCAGAGGACTCCCAAGACAGGCTAAGGCCACCAAGCCTAAAGCATTTTTCATGAATAAAGGGAGCTTAGCTTGCCTTTTGATTACCTACAAGTAAATATATAATACATTTCCAGACTGTACTTGTCATTACAGATAAGTACAAAAGTAAGACAGGCCTTGAAATTACACTTCTATTTAAAATCATGCAGACCTTTTTTTAGGCTCTCTCCAGACTTCAAAAATATATAAACCAAAAACAGAGTTCACTATAAAGACCAACAACCAGTGTTTCCTACAAGCACAGTAACAATATAAACTAAACATTTAGAGTGATATATTAACTGCGTGAAAGCTTTTTTGACATAATTAGCAAATTCAAGCAATTTATTATTACATTGTTATTCTGTCACAACACAACTCATAGTTTAGAATTAAATATTTCCATAATGTGATTTCTTACCAAATTTTTATATGCCTTTGAAGGTATTTGTAACAGAGCTTTTAAGAGTGGTCTGGATGAAGTGTGAATGGAAGGGTCTTGTGCGAAGACACCAAGAAACCAACGTTCAGGAACAGTTACAAGAACACCTGATACTTGTAATCAAGAATATGATCCACAGCACTGATCAGCAGTAATCAAGCTGGTACATACTGAGAAACGTGCTGGAATTAAGACCAGAGAGCCTGTGCTCCAAGGCGAGCAAACAAAATGGATCAGGAGCAGCTTTACACTCTGAAAACCAGGTGGATGGCAAAGAGCATGGCATCTCACACCAGGCTTATCCCAGGAGTAGGTAGCTATAGTCAGAATGGGAAAACAGACAGCACACAGCAATGTTGCTCAAGATTTATGGAGGATGAAGCAAGCAAGATTCTGGGGCAAAAAGATCGTAACTTAGCACCTGTCTGATTCCTAAAAAGTAGAAAAGAGATGTCCAAAACCAGTTCATCACCAATTAAAAGGAATGTAACGGGCATGCAGAGGATGCAAAACCTGATGTTTGCTGGAGTCCATATCACACAAGTGAAACTGGCCACATCATGTGGACTCAAATATTAGTGCTTACAAGTATGTGGATATGAGAGTGAGCTCTATGTGTAAGTGAACATGTGTGACTAAGCACAAAATACCATCTGCCATGACATCTCTCAATTTTGTTACATCAGCTTCCTGTACTAGTATCATTACTAGTGAAAGGGAGTTTACTTGTCAGGCAATTCTCAATATAACACTTACATAGGGAAGAGTAACTCAGCAAATTTATCAGCTCTAGTAGGCATAATGTTTTACTTATCACTTTAATTCAGCATTTAAATACCTCTCTAAATTCAGGCAAAAAGCACAACATTTACATTTACCTGGTGTGCATAAAATGCTGCCACAGGCTTCATACCCATGCGATAGGCCTCCCCAGCCTTTTTCAAACATTCCTGTCTCTTTTGCTGGTGACAAAAAGCTTCTGCTCTTAAGTCATTGTATTGTGGATACTCAAAATCTTGAAATACTTCACTCAAAGGATCATCCTCTTCCTTAGTTTTTTTTGCCTGCAGGAATTTGCAACGTTGAAGCTAGGTATATATTGCAGGGCACTTTCATTAACATAGATTTGGATATGTTTGTAAATACTATTTGGAAAAAAAAAAAAAAAAAAGAATACCTTCTTCTCCCGGTTCTTTGCAGCACTGCAGGAAGAAAGAATTTCATTTTGCTGACCACTTTCTTGAGCTATAACTGTTTTTACAGGATCTGCCTCCAGAACACAGTTCAGAAACTGTTCAGTTTGCTCTAAAGAATAGCTGTAAAGGATAAGTAATATCTGTGACTTTAAAAGTACATTCACAGCAGCTCCATTTATTAAAATGTGTATTACAGACCTTGATATTGTTACAGAAATAGAAGACAATGGAAAAAAAGCACTGGAATGGAATTTTCCACCTTATTTCAAAAAGGCTTGCAGACTCACTGTACTTACTGCATTACTGGCATCAACACACATGCAATCTTGATTGACTGAAACAACTGAGGGGCATTAAAAGGACAACAAAATACTAAGGTAAATTGCATCCCACCTTATTCAAACAAATATTAGTTTAGAAGTAAACACTGCTTTTGGGGATGAATAAGTAACCACCTCTTAAATCTTCTCTGGTCAGGGTAAGACAGTACAAAATACTTTAAAACTAGCTCATTTTTCTGAAACCATTATGCAGGAAAAACCTTGTATTTCAAGCCATGCTTTATTATTAAATTTGATGAAATGAGAATAGGATATCAGTTGCCATCAGATTTCTAATAAGCCCTCTTTATTCTTCTTGCTGTTCAGTAAGCAGACAGGAGGAAGGCTGATCAAAAGTAGAAAAAGACTCTAGGAAAGGCAACACTATGAATGTGAAAAACAAGAGACAGTGTTTGAGGTATAGAGATGGAGGAAAGATGTACTGTAAACATCCCACAATGAAAGGTTTTGATGGCAAGTAGCACAAGCAGGAAGACTGACAAGCAGGCATACAAATCCATATGTGGAAATATACATACAATTGGCCAAGGATGAAAAAAAAAGTTTCTCTTGCAAAAAAAGTTTCGTTCTCAGGAACCTGGATTTAAGAAGGTAGCCACATACCCCAGATACATAATGCAGAAGAGAGAAAGATAATATCAGCAGAAAGAGATGGAGAAATGGCTCATCAGAGCTGCTGTAGTAACCAGAAAAGTACTCACAGGCATCAGATGATGGTAGCTTTCCTCTTGGGCAGATGTTATTTTCTGTGAAACCACAGTTACCACCCCCCAGTACTTGATTTAAAGCCTCAGCTCTAGAGCAAACACACAGTTCCACTGACAGACAGCCAGAGGTTGACAGCCAGAGACCTCCTCCCAGTGAGAGAAACTGTCCACTCCCCCCAAAAACAGAAATCTACATATGGAATTTTTATGCCCTTTTTATTTTTAAGACCAGCTAGTTTTTCCCTTTGTTTAGATCTACAAAAAATATGCTAGTTTGCAAACAGCCATTCTTCAGCAGTATCTTAACTCTTAATATTTAAGACAGTAACTGTGAACTAGAGAATGTTACCGAGTACCATTTTTACTTTTAAGATCTTTAAAGATTTCTTACTTGTTGTCCTTGAAGATATCCATTAAGAAGCTTTGATTAATAGTTGGAAACATCCCAAAAAGTTGCTTCTCCTTTAGTTTAGCGGCACAATCTTTTCTAGCCATAGAGGGAACGCGATTCTTGCCAGAGGACAAAGGAAAAATATTACAAATTCTTAACTAGAACAAAATACGGTAACAATAGAGCCAATCCACCTGTACTGTTATTTTTTTAAGATGGAAAAAAATAAATCTATTCAGTAGGTGTGCACCCACAGCCATAACAACATGCCAGTATCAGCCTGCCACACTGGTTTGATGAGAACAAAGCAGGGAGACAGATGAGTTGTATTATACACCACTGCGGTACTCTGCAGTCAGTTCAAGTGACTCAGCTGGAGCTCCCTCATACCTTGGCCAAAACAAAAGGAGGATTTTTCAGGAGGAATTTAAGTTTTGGAATTCATTCCCTGCTAGTCTATCTAGTCCAATGCTAAGCTTGTGCAAAGGCCACTTCTTTACCCTGTATGGAAGGTCTGCGGTTGAAGCAGCAGTTTATTATGAAACAGTACGAACACTTTTGGTCTGGTGTATCTGAAGTTGTACCATAATAAATATATGTGTTTGTGAAGTCATGCTGAGAAGATACATAATTATAGGCCAGAATAAATGGGACTGATCATCCAATACTCAGTTTGGAAAAAAAAAAGTGGTCAAAACAAAGCCAAGCTCCATGACTCCAAACTGAAAATAAAGCTTCGGACATCACAGTTGTTATTATCAGTAAGCCACATACATGCAGTTCAAAGAAAGAATCCACAAGCCATTCTTTCAAAGTACAGGCTAATCCATTCAACTTTCTATGGCAGCAGAAACAAAGCTCCTCTTTTTTAGGACAGCCACTTATCAGAGCGAATTACAAATACAGATGCCTGTCCTGAACGGCAGGGCAGCAGAGGGCAGTGTTATGCACATGCCAACCACACAGGGCATGGGAACTGTATGAAGATACAGAATTATTAAAAATGTTTTTAAAAAATACTGTTTTCCTCACAAGTGGGTACAGAAATCTATTTGATATTAGCCTCAAGTATTTCTTTTAGCATCTCACCTGTTAGGAATGTTGTGGGTTCTCCTTACAAAAACATATTAAAATAAATTCAATCCACTTCTAAACAAACAAGGCTTGGAGCTAATTAAGAACTTCTGATATCACCTTCTCAATAAAAAGTGTGAGAAATCACACTGATCTTGGGTTTCAGGTAAGCAATCAAAAAACAATTCAACCAAACACAAATGCTAACCTGTATAGTGAAATGCACCATGATCTGTTTGTGAAACAATCAAAATATTACATATTAAAATGAGATTTATATTTTAAGATAAAAAACCTCTACCACAAGCAAGCCCCCATATCACAGTAATCAACAAAACTAATTGGCATGCCTTTGTCTTCAAGGCTGAAGATACATTATTCAGGCTGGGTAAATTGAAGGCTGTAATCAGCAGCACAAAGATGAGTCACCAGATAAGACATATTCCGTTTCATTAACAGTTGCAAACTGAAACTGCATTAATAAATGGTGTTATCCATACCAGGTCCTCTTTCTCCTGCATAGCTATTTCTTCAGAAATTATTTGTCTGAGAGAAACTTTCTGGATCTGAGCATTCCAGTGATCCATAAAAGGAAAAATGTCTGATGTTGCTGTTTTTTTAGTCTGCATGTCATTAGATGAGCCCGAAATCCAGCTCATTTTTTTCTTCTGTATTTTACTGTCTGCATTCTGAGATAATAGCACTTCTGTGTCATCTGTATCTATCTGCTGAATCACAGAATCAGTAGAACCTTCAAAAACAATAAAAATGAGTTGACAAATAAAACATTAGCTTATTTACACAAGCAAAGCCAAAATAATTAAGACAAATTTTTCAACCTAGATTGTTTGGGTATTGTTAAAACAGTATTATTAATGTTAAATGTCTTCCTCTTCCTCACTTCTATTTTCCAAAGACTGTCTAATAATCTCTGTTCTGTAAAACAACAGCAAAACTACCAGGCTCCCTCACCAAATTTTCCAGTGCCAAGACCTATCTATCTTACAGATGTAAAGTACTTTGCACATATGTTAAGTGGGGATGTTTGTTAGCTTTTTAAAGAGAATTCTTGACATGTGTTTACACATTTACCTGCCTTTTCTCTACAGCTTAAGGACAGGTGCTTAACAATCTGGTTTTACACTTCTGCTGAGTTGATGCCAACAGCATTGTTTGGTCACTTGGGAGCTCCCAAGCAAGGTCATGGGGTCTCCTTCCTTGGGGACTTTTGAAACCCATCTGGAGCGTTCCTGTGTGACCTGCCCTAGGTCGGATGGCCCTGCTCTGGCAGGGGGGTTGGACTCGATGGTCTCTGGAGGTCCCTTCCAACCCCTAACATTCTGTGATTTGCATGGAGTTTGCACCCACATTACAGTCCAAGTCTTCACCCAGGTACCACACAAGAGCAGCCAGGTTCTACTGCAGAGAGACATTTCTTCTGGGAGCTGAATGCAAACTGGATTGCTAGAGATTGTAACACCTTTTGAACAAGGACATGTATCTTCCTGCTACAATCAATTCATCTGAGAAGGAAATTAGCATGTCAATGTCATACACCTGACCTCCTTCCCTCACCTGCAGAAGTCTTACTCTGCTATTTATTCTCTGGCCACATCTATTCTTGCCACAGGGAGTACAGAAGTCCTACCAAACACCTGTCTACTCCAGCCAGAGCTTTCAAGTTCTCTGAAGCACAAAAAATGATAGGTGTTTTGCTTGCATCTACCTGGGACTAGTGATTCTGCTTATAATTATTTTATTTTTTCCTCCACATCTCCATAACAGAATATAAATAGAACCAAGGGCAATAAATAAAAGCTTAGCTTAATGAATTAACCCATCATTTTTCAATAGACAGAATATTTGTAGCCTTACTGAAGTTTCAAATAATTATATATTTTTATAATGGAAGTTAAGTATTTTGACATTAAGGAAAACTACATAACATACCTTCTGCAAACATGTTACATGATTCATCTCTCCTCTGACGCTTCTAAATAAAAATAGTAAAACCATTAATGTTATAAGTAAGCTATAAATTTTGCAGTGAAACTTTGCAAGTGTTAGCTTATAAGTAAAGCACTTTCAAAATAACACCTCACAGTATTTCTCAGAGACTGGATATTTTAAGAGAAATATTTGAGGAAAATAATTACAAAATGAAGGTTAAAAAGATAGAACTATCTTTCTGAAAACACCTAGGGAGACAAATGGTCTGACAAAGCACAAGCATACCATGCCATACTATACGCAAGAAACATACTAACCAGAATAGATTCTTTCCATTTTTCATGAATCATTTTTGCCAAATTCAGATCAATATGGACCACACAATCCTCAACAGTTAGTGAACCTTATGGAACAAAGAAAGAAAGAAAGAAAAAAGAAAGAAAAAAATATATCCATTAAGCCATTCTATAAAAATTTCTCTAAGCAATTAAAAGTACAGTAGCATAAACTTATTAATTTGAATTCTGGAGATGCTGCACAAACTGTCAAGCCTGAAAAAACTTCAGCATGTGCCAAGTTAAAAAAAAAAAAAAAAAGGCATTCCACACAGAATTCATTATCTGGTGTTCAAAAAGGGTAGGAAAAAACAAGTTAACATTAATTATATCTCATTGAAATGACAACCTGAACAACTAAATTTTTCCTCCCTCCATCTACTTTTCTAGCAGAACATTCTTTTACAAAGCCACTGTTAATTTACAGCCCCAGTGTGATTCCCCCTATTTTACACCAATCTACATGCAACTGCTTTTATGCAACACAACATACAATTGCCCAATGCAGTCACACCCCTCCTTTCAAACACAAACTCAGAGAAACAAACTCCAACTGTCCCCTTTGATATACATGTACAAGAGGCACATGTATATCAAAGAAAAAGGCAGAGCATATTTCAGACACAATAGAACACCATTCTGCTATCAAAAACAAACTTTTTTTTTTTTTTGAGGAGGCAGGCATGGAAGGCAGAGACCAGCAGTCAAACCCACCAATAAATCAAATATCCAGGGTTTCACACCAAGTAATCTTCAGGAGGGGGGGGAAAAAAAAAAAAAAAAAAAAAAAAAAAAAAGAGAAAAAAACCCCAAGGTTTCCTTGCGTTTTCTTCCTTTTTCTATCAGTCTGTAACTTTTGTGATGCTTGTTCAAGCTGCTTGGGGCTTCCTTCAACAGTATCTCAGCAGACCAGTCTGTTTTCATCTATTAAGCATAGCTGCACTTTATCTTCTCTAACCCATTCTTCTTCTCCTTCCCCAATTTAACTGATTCCTAAGCTTTCTTTTTTCCTAACCAGTCATAACTTGCATCTTCCTCATCATCTTCATACCCCTTCAGAGTCTGAATATAGGCTTAAAGTACTGTTGTTCAAAATGCAAATAAGCCAATGTATTTTCTTACGATTTTACAGTATGTGCACGTACAAAAAGACAAAAGCAGAAGGAAAAAATAAGAACTATGCAAATCTGTTCCCTAAAAATCCAGTACAAAGGGAAAAAGCACAGGCAAAGGAATGAAGGTTTTTATTTCCTTTTTGTTATGCACACTGACTTTTTTCATAAAAATAAGGACATAATTGTGCCCATACCTGCATCAATACCAACAGGCCCAAATATTTCTTTTAATTGGAACGCCAGTTCAGGAGGTAATGTCAGCTCTAGGCAATCTATATTGAAGGCTGCATGTGATGATGGTTTAGGGCTTTGTACTTTGGCTTTAGCTTCATCACAGCTTGGAGTTTCAATTTCTTCTTTACCACATGTGTCCCTGGAACTCCCCTGGGTTTCTCCATCTATCTCCAGTTCTTTATCACTCGTGGGACCAACCAGAAGTACGTGATCCATTTCCAGTAACGAAGCAGCCACTTTGGAATTCCCTGCACTGCTTTCTGAGGGGTTACTGTCACTTTCAGTATTTAATTCAAATTTCAAATCAGTAGAAGTTGTGTTATGACCAGGAGGCAAATTCATGGGTACACAGAAACCCACATCAGTCTGTGAGACTGATGGCTGATTTACAGTTTCTTCAACAGGACTCTCGGATTCTGTCTTCTGCTCACCTGGAACAGATGGCTCAGTGATACCTGCTGCTGAGCTGCCTGCATCAGCTCCAGGGGCTGCATCTCCTGAGTTTTTCAGTCCCTCCAAATCATTCACTGAGACAGCAGTTGACGAGTCAGACACATTAGCATCCATCAGAGTTGCCTTGGTAGCTGTAGTTTCTGCAATGCTGACTGATGAGTTCTTGTCTTCTGAAGGCTCGGAGATATCACCAGCCCCAATTACTTGCGGCATTTGTTCACAGTCTTTGAGATTCTCACCATAGCTTGTGCTTGCCTTGAAATCAAGTTCAGTGACGACTGGCTCAGCTTCTTTTCCTTGAAAGCTTTCAGTATCAACATCTCTGCGTAACTTTTCATCAGAGTCTAACAGCAGCCCTGTGGCCCAGTCTATGTCTTTGTTACATCTTTCATACAGATCTTTCACAGCTTCAAATGAAACAGACTCAAAGAGCTTACACAGCATATTTAGCTTTTCAGACTCATCAATATTGATAAGTTCGCTTTCTTCCACAAATGTACTTTTATCATACGTAACTCGATAGGGTATTTTTTCCTGACAATCTGAGGCATTATCAACATCTTTGGGTTTGAAGCCATCTAGCCTGCCGTGCAACACTTTGGTAGTCTCCGTAAAAAGCATTTTCTTTTCTAATCTCCACAGGAGAGCAAAGTCCTGTGATTCAGTCTGGGAATAGCTACTTTTTTGTCTACATGAGCACGCATCCTGTTTCTCTTCTGCTGCATTAGCCACAGACAAGTGCTCCTCTTCTTTGGGATGGGCTATATTGTTGTTTGTAAAAGTGAGGGCTAACTTGTGATGTTTCCTCATTCTCTTATTTTGCTGGGTTTTTTTCTCATCTACTGTTTCAGGTTGGTGCATATGCAAACTCTCTATATCCAGTTGCTCTGCAGTGTTCAGAGGTGTCCCACGAAGCACATCTACAGTCTCAAGAGCATTTCTATTAATGTCTCCTTCATCATTTCTACCTTCATCAGACTGATTTAGACTTGCCTTTCTCACTCTCCTTGACCTTTGTTGCCTCTGTTCTAATGAGCCTGAGACAGGCCAATGTCCCACCATTTGCAGTTCTGGTATAACCGTATCTGAATTAACAGAGGAACACTTAGAGGCTGGACTTTCTTCCTTGTGTCCTTTTTCAACAGCACAGGTCCCAGGCAGGCCCACTTGCTCTACACCTAAATCAGGATGCTGCTGACTGGGAGTTTTACTTTCTTTATCACACTGCAGAGAAGATTTTTCTAGTCTTCTAGCTCTTTTCACTCTCTGTCCCATTGTTTGTTCTACAGGCCAGTCACCCAGGAAGTTTAGTAGTTCTGGTTTTCCCAACACATCAAAAGCTGAACTGATTGGTTCCATTATGTTACTATTTTCTGTTGATTTTGTTTCCGTACATATTTCACCAGTTTGTTTAACCTCTGGTTCAACTTTGGGAATGTTATCACTGTTTTCCCCAACTCCTCCTGTATGTGAGCACACAATCTCTTCAGTTGTGGTCACGTGAACCTCATCCATTTCTGTTTCAGTATTTTTTTCTATTTTTTCTCCCTTTTCTTCTTTATTCTCCAAGGGCAGTTCTTTTTCTACACAATCTGATAAATTAACATCCAAGTCATCTTGAATAGCAGTGTTCTCAGAACCGTGTTCCACTGAGTTATTTTCCATTTCTTTTTCCTCTTTCTGAAAATGTTTAGGATCACAGCTTCTTTTTAGTGTTAGAGAAGTATGGGGAGAAGTTTTATCATCTTCAGCTAATTCAAGACGGTCCAGAACAGAAGCAAGAAAAGGTTTTTCTTCCTTTGCATCAGAACGTTCCTCTCTCTTTCTGGAAAACAAATTGGAATGAAAGATAAACCCATTTCAAGTCTTCTTTAAGCACCTGCCCAAATTTTTAGTTTTGCCTTGGCTATCATACATTTTCAAATGACAGACCAGAAATCACCTTTTAGGACACTAATCATCCAGCTGGAGAACTCTAGTGAGAGAAAACTTTAAGACAGCGCTAACAAAACCACAAAGGAGTTAAGCAAAGCAGAGCTTTCCTTGGTAATTATCTCTTTTTCACTTCAGTGTGGGGCTAAGAACACTTTCTCAGGAGTCTGTTTTGCCCCATTCCAAGTACATTCAGTTATGTACATTCCCATTTCCAGTACATTCAGATATGTACTGAAGCACTCTGCTGCCAGACATTTCCTCCTTCAGCTCAGCAAACCTGGTAAATGTGATTTTATTTAATGACTGTTGCTCTCTCCTGATGGCTTGATGCTAAATAAAGTCTAGAAATTAACTAGGAGAGGATGTGACATCTCTTGTCATACCACTTCACAATCATCCCAGTTTGTACTTAATTTTAAACACAATAAGCATACAAAAAACCAAGCAAAATAATTACTAGAATAAAAATCTGTTTTCCTATCCATTATTATAATTCATACACAGCATTATTCAGATTAGCCACTACAAAACAGTCTTTATATAACCAACACAAATACAGACAAGTCTACTAAATATGCTCAAGAGCAAGCAGATTACTCATTACTACTGCACAAAGAATTCACCTTCTACCATAAAGACATCATCTAATACTAACACTCAGACTTAGAAATAGTAAATTTCTCATATTTGGGACTACCTTCTTCTGAAAAGCATTTTATAGATTTTAAGTGTTTTGTATCTACAACATATACAATAGCACATTTCAAAGATACAAGGAAGTAAATCAGGATTGGCTTATTGAATAGTAACACACCATACTGGGAGATTTTCAAAAAGCATCAGAAAGTTGACCATATCCCTTGATTGCTCATTTATAGAAATCCTGAAATTCTTGAAAATTAAGAAAACTACATAGTGTATTTCTTGTTATTATTTTTTAATGCATTCTCACTGTTCAACAAAATTATGCAGGTTCTGTTGCTATGAAGTTTGAGCTTTTACTATAAAGCTAGTAAAGAACCTAACCTACGGCTTTCCTCCTGACAAGAATCTTCACTCCAGCCAGCAGCTTCTGATTTGCCTGGGACTGAAGAATCCAATATTGACCTAACAGTAAGGCAGCGTTCGTATCGTTCCAACATTCTTTTGATCTTTTCTTTAGATACACCATGAATGTTTCGCCTATGAATTAAAAAAAAAAAAAAGAAAAAAACTTTTCAGATTTGTGTCTTGCAATGAAAGAAGAGAACACTTTAATAAGTTTACAGCAAGACTAACCTGAGAATTCAGGGGGTAGGGGGGAAAAGCTGTGAAACCACAATTCTTTCTGTATCAATTCATTAAATTTCTGAATCACTCCAAACAGAGCATCTCAAGGTAAATCGCTGCTCTCCTTGGATTCTCCACACCACTTGGTGGCCCTGTTCTGCAATAGGATGTTTTACTTAACACTAATGTCTAAAACTGTATCAATAACGCATCTTCTTCGAGTAAGTATCAGAAACATACCATATCAGATCCTGACAGTATCAGGTATGGAAGATTCTGAATTCAGTCTTCCTTTTCTGATTTGACTAAACTAAGAACTCCTTGAACCCTGAAGAAAATCTATCCACCTATTATTTTCAGCATCCTCTGGCTAGAAAATTTCACCGCCTCTGTTAAACAACAAAAAGCAATACGCTCTGCAGCAGTTCCACCTAGAACTAGTGAACCCTGCCAACGACAGCAAAAGAGAAATTGAAGATACAAGAGAAAACATAAAAGTTTTATTTTAGGAAAGAAAATAATCTTCCTTACCTTGCTTGAGAAGTAGCCAACCTTAAGCTAAGCATGCAAATTCAGATGACAACAGATATTATGACATCACAAAATAACTTATGCTGAAAGGGACCTCTGGAGGTCACAGACTCCAGCCTTCTACTCAGAGGAGGTACAGCAAGACCAGGTTGCCTAGAGCTTTGTCTTGTCAAATTTTGAACATTACCAGTGATATAACATACAAGTCATAAAGAGGACATTAAATAATAGTGGCCCTAGTATTCATCCTGGAGAGACATCAGCCTCCTCTTGGATGCTGAACCACTGATCATACCCTTTGAAACTGGCAACTTCTAATTTTCTAGCTACCTTGTTATTTGTCGAAGAATGGTTTGGGTTGGAAGGGACCTTTAAAGGTCATCTAGTCCAACCCCCCTGCAGTGAACAGGGACATCTTTCATTACATCAGGTTGCTCAAAAATTAAAAAGCTACTTATTATCACAAAAATCTTAACTGGTATCTATTTCACCAGCCACTGTAGTAAGCAGTTATCTTTTTAAAAATCATAGCTTATAGACTGTGAAAGAGATATAATCTAATATGACATTTTCCTTTACATTCTTACCTCTCAAGTTCTTTTGGTTTAAACTTCCACCAAGTGTCTGGTTCTCGGAACATAACTTTGTATTTGAACTGCTGAGCCTGAATAAAACAGATATAAAAGAGAACAAGCCACATCACCCATTTTTTATTTCTACGAAAAAGAACACAATATGAATAGCCTGCTTCCTGAAAGCTGTTTTTTGTATTTTTTTGAAACTAATTTGACATTTAGAACTACATACTTTTGTGCAGTGTTTCACTTCCAATTATATACACTGAGATTTTAAAAAACATGTATATGCATCTTTTACTATAAAATTAAACGTGTTCCATGATCACAGAAAAAAAAAAAAACAAACCAAAACAACACTATTTTATATCATCATTTTATATGTTCTACTTCCTCTTAGTCAAGACTGCAGAACACCTCTTTCCAGTTTCAGAATGGACATGTCTACACAGCCTCTCTAAGGCAGAGGAAAGCTCACTGCCTACATTCAGAGCGGACCAGAGGGGAGCCAATTCCAAAACGAGCAGCTGAGTTACACAGCTCCTGTGGACAGCCCTCCTGCCATCTGGGAGACTTGAGTGGGCTGCAAGTAAATGGTCTTTGTACGGTCCAGTCTCATCATGGCAGCAAAAGAGTCCAACGTCTAACCCCGAGAAGCACTGGGAGCACTGTGCCATTTCTGTTTCTGTCCTCAGAAAAAATTCTTATCACCTTAAAAACCCCTGCACTTCCTAGAAGAACTTTTGTTGTATCTTTACTTCAGTATACAGCCAAATCAATGACATAATTTAAGAACTGTTAACCTGACAATTGTTAATAAACACAAAGAAAATAATTTTATTAATAAAACCTGTGTTGAGTTCCACTGTTCACTAATCCATTATCACATGCGCTGTCTGTAGAGCATCTGCTCAAAATCTGTCAGTTCTACATACTACACTCTAATGCATTTCTATACTGCGGTAGGAAGAGAAATCTTAGGTCTCCTATATACTATCTCTTTCAATACATATTTGCTGTTAATCATAGCCAATTTTATAAATAATGCAGTTCTGCAAGCATAAACCATTATTAGAACTGCCAACCAAAATGGTGAATCATCCACAACAAAATAAGAGGCAGAGACTAGAAGTGCTCATGCCCATTTGGAAACTACAAAGCAAAAAGGTAAGAAGCTCCAGAAAACTAGAGTAAAAGAAACCTGTAACAGAGTTCATCAAGTTATTTAAATAATTAAATGTAATTTTGGAAGTTAAATACAGATTGTATTTAATTAGTACTAAATAAAAGCAGGTCACTTTTAGTCACTAAATAAAAGCACTACACTACTAACATAAAATTGTGCTGGTATATTATTTTGATCACATCACTTCAATAAAAATTAAGGAAGTCTTCATAACTTCAAGCAACCCTGCAACATTTGATAACTCTAGCTCTCCAACTAGTCAGCTGGTATCTGCTTCTATATTTAGGATAAAAGACTGAGTTTTCAAGTTTCATGAAGCATCAAACCACTCATTAATTAGTACCAATTATATTTTAAAAGTAACTTAGAATTGTACTGATCATATAAAATCATAGAGTATTTTGGGTTGGAAGGGACTTTTAAAGACCATCTAATGCAACCCTGCCCTGTGGTGAGCAGGGACATTTTTGACTGGATCAGACTGCTCAGAGCCTTGTCCAGCCTGACCCTAAATGTTTCCAGGGATGGAGCATCTACAGCATATACCACCTCGCTGGGCAACCTGCTCCTGTGTCTCACCAGCCACATAGTAAAAAAAATTCTTCCTTTTATCTAGTCTAAATCTACCCTCTTACAGTCTAAAACCATTACCTCTTGTGTTGTCACAACATGCCCTGCTAAAAAGGCTGTCCCCAGCTTTCTTACAGTCCTACTTTAAGTACTGAAAGGACACAAGAAGGTCTTCTTGGACCCTTCTCCAGGCTCAACAACCTTTCTTCATAGCTGCTCCAGTCCTCTGGTGATTTTTGTGGCCCTCCTCCAGACCTGCTCCAACAGGTCCTTATCTGTCCTGTGCCAAGGACTTCAGAGCAGGATACAGCATTCCAGGCAGGTCTCACCAAAGCAGAGGTGACAGAATTACCTCCCACAATGTGCTGGCCACATTTCTTTTGATGCAGCCCAGGATATGGCTGGCCTTCTGGGCTGTGAGTTCTCTAAGAGGAGGGTCTGTCAGTCATATTGGACCCTCTGCTCCCTTTAGAAGGGAGTTGCCTACAACTACAACCCTTCTTTTCTTCCCTGCAGAGGTGGTCATGATGCAGGAGGGTAGGACCTTCTGACCCTGGTGACACCTCAACAATATTCATTTTTGCTTCCAAGTGCAAAGCACCTGACTTTGTCACTTGGCTACTAGGCCAGGTCAATACTTGATTGCGCACAGAATATGACACTGGACGATATGATTCCATAGGAACACTTTTTTTGACTCCAGACTTTCTTGTGGAATAACAGCTAAAATGACGAAGACAAACGCATTTTAAAACATACGTTGTTGCCATGCTGGTCAATAATCCCTTTTTCACACTGATCAAGTTGTAATACTAACCAAAGCAACATAAGGCTTCATCTCCCATGCTTGTATGTTTGTGTTGTCTATTATTATAGGAGAGATTCTCATTTCAAACGCGTCTTTGGCTGAAAGACACACAGGTACAAAACAATGTGATACAGTTAATTTCATTATAATAGGGTGGACACATAACATTTTAACTATTTCTCTAAATTTGAAAATTTTTTTAAAGTAGATAATCCATAGTGATTAACCACTGTGTAAAGAACTCTTGCCACATCTTGATCTGTTTCAAGGCCCTCTTTTATATCAGCAATCACCCCCCTCACATGTTAAGCTACTGAGGTGTGGCATTATTCTTTTGAATTAATGCATGTATTACAATCAAGGAATGAAAATGCAGATGTAAAATACACCAAGATGACTAATAAATCAGTAAATGAAACTAAAAAAACTACATGATCACCTTAAAGTGGACTTCTTTGTTGCATACAAAATTCTTGGCTTTAAAACAGTCTTAAGATTAGTCCACTCTGTAAACTGTATAAAATATGAAAAATCAAAAATTATTGTACTTCAAATACATAGTAATGAAATGTTTAGAATCACTAGCTTAGAGACACAGCACCATGGTTTTGTAGCTACATTACAATGCTTCTGAACAATCAAAGTTATCATTAGATCACACATTTCCTATTAACCACTGGCTAGAAACTTGACAGTAGAAAAGTGATCATGGTTCAAATTTAGCAAGTAAAAGCTTAAAAAGAGTTACTATTTTTAAGAGTTTAGTGGGAACCACTACCAAAAAATACGCCTATTATGGAAAGAAAAAAAAAAATCCTTTATTCTGGCTTGCTCTTGTAATTTTGTTTTAAATTTGCCAACAATTTAGTGCTCAAAAGAAAAAAATTAAAAATCAGGAGCAGGAAAATATCTATGTGTTACTTGTATCAAGATCCTCACTACTTACTGCATACACGTGTTTTATCTCTTCTGGGAGATGGTACAGATTACCACTCCAGAAATAGGACAAAACACAAAATACATACCATGATGAAATCTGAGAGCAAAACAACCTTTTGACAATGACACTGGCATTTTTAATTGCAAAACACACAATGGACAGATGACTTCTGAGTTTATGTTCACATGCTTTTTCCACATACATATTAAAAAACACTTCAATGGTGGGATAAATGCTTGACCTGTGACACTGGCACTACAAGACAGGCAGCTTTTTAAATAGCACACAAGCTAATTCCTTATTTATTTCTCACCTCGTTTCCTGTTCCACTCATGTGCTTCCCCTAAGCAATCAGGATCATAATGGTATTGTCCATGTTTATAAAAGTAATCATCCGTACTAAGAACAATTCCACCTGGGTTATCTTCAAGCAAAGTCCTGTGAAAGATCAAGAAGTAAAATAGCTTTTCCCCTTTCTCCTCCCCAGCCCTACCTGCTACCTTACCTATATCTATTTAGTCTCCTGCAGAATCCCAAGATTATTTGGAATGCAAGTAGCAAATTCAGGTAAGGGGGGCAAGGGGCAGATCACCCACCAAGCAAATATGATCTATAATAATTTTCCTTCTTTTCGAAAAGCTGAGGATATCTAGGGGAAAGAGCTGACAGAGGTTCCCTACAAGTCCCATTTGAAAATGATGAGGGAGGTATTTTTCCATCTGCATTTAGTGACATGCTTTCACAATGACAAACACACATACAGTCTTAATTGCACCAAGTATTTTAGGTGCCAGCCAAAGGAATCTAAGCTCAATCTAGGCTTTTGGAGAGTGAGAAAAGAAATCAAGAATTCAAGGCTCCACATGTACTACTTACATAAAAGAATTCCCAGAGTGGAAGGGGAAATTCTGCCTATAAAGATCTGGCACACTGCCATCCGTGTTATTGGAAGGAAAACACCCGAAATGAACGGGAACTGGAAGAACACAGCAGACCTAACACTACTGCAGCGATATTCTGCTGACAAAAAATAAATCCTTTGGCCAGTGCCAAAGTTAAAGCTGAGCACTCCTATTTCAATTTCGACCAGAGGTCAAGGAGCTACAGCAACTCAGCCTCTCTGCAATTACCATTATTCATCATGCTGCACGTACCACGTAGCTGGGAATTTGGGTATTATCATAACTATTTGCAAATGTCAGAAAATGGTCTCTGCTTCCACTAAACTCTGTACACAATTAAGCAATTTCTTTTAGAAGCTCACAGTATAGATGTTCTACCTTGCCAAATAGGATTTTCCTGATCCTGGAACACCTCTGAGAAGAACAAGTACTTGACCTACAAGGTGCATCTTTTTTCTCATCATGTGACAAACAGGTGGCTGCTGTGCTTGCGAGAGGTTCAATTTTGAGTTTCTATCTTGATTTCCCCATACCTTCAGAGAAGGGTTGCTATCCTGGGCATTTGAAACCACTGGAGAGGGAAAAGAAAATCTTTTTTCCAAAGTCCTACAGTCTGAATCAGGTCTCCACTGCCCTGGACCGACAACCACAGGAGTTACAAAGCTGTGACTTCCACTGGATGGATAAAACGTGGGAGCCATGAGATTCCAGTGTTGCTGAGATTGACATGACGGTGTAGAAAAATTTAAGTTATAACCCCAGTGAATTTGCTGAAGATCTGCAGGGTTTTGTGTATTGTAAATGCCTGTTTCAAGAGGGACATAAGTCTCTGGAAAAGAAGCGTTCTGGTGGCTGTTAAAGGCAGTCACTACCTCTTGGTGCTGTTCCAGGCACTTTGAATTAGTGTTTCCAGTGACATCTACTCCAAGTTCCAGATGTCGTTGGGAGGACTCACCAGAAACAGCAGCCACATTTTTTTTATCCAAAACAGTATCTTGTGTCTGATCAGAATTTCCACATGCTATTTCTCCATTCGATTGTTTATAACCTTCTGAGGCTATGTCATATTGAACATTTATTTCTGACAAATCTGTATCTTCCAACGTCTCTGCAAACATGCCTGATGCAGCTGGTGAGCTTGTCTGGACCCTCAGCTGACTGACTGCTGGCTGCGAAGAGCAGAAGTTTTCTAAAACCTCATTATATGTCCCTGTTTGCTGTGGAAGAAGCAGGACATTGCAACCCGAATCAGGTTCTTCCCACTCCAGAAACTCATTAAAGCCATCATGTTCCACAGAGTGCTCGTATACCATTTGGTCATTTGCAGAAGTGGGCAATTCATCACTCAAGCTGTAGCTCTGAACGGCATTTTCTAGCAAGGAATCCAGTTCTTCAGTCAGCTGCACATCAGGCGATAGGATCTTTTCTTTCTCTTCTTCAGAATTACTTTGTTCTGCAGTACTTTCCCCCATGCTTTTATATGCAAGAGACCTCTGCCGATTAACATGAGCTAGTGATGATGCTACTGAATTAAAACCCAAGGTTTCTGAAGATGCTACTCCTTTGGCATGGGTGGACAGCTCTAGCAGATAATCCATAGCATTTTCTACTGTGGAAAAAGGTCAAGAGAATAAAGTGTGGTCAATTGAACAAACACAAGGTAATGTGAAAGCACTTTTTTTTAACTTGACAGAGTATTTATCACAACTAAAGGACAACCAAAAGTCAGTTCATTAATTCATCTTTTGATACACATTCTGCAACTCCCTTGACCTGCTTCTCATTACCTTCGTTAGAGAGAGGTAAAGGCAGAACTCAATATGGATATATTGCAAAAATAAACTAATAAGCATAACAATTACTAAGGCAATACTGTCTAAAAATTATTAAGTTTAAATGGAAAAAATATCAGAAATGAATGTTTAAATGGATACCTATTTCTAACCTATCTCCTCTACACAAAATAGTGTCACGTGAACTGGAAAAAACTATGGAGAGCTAAAGAGATAAAAATATACAAGATATTTTCATTATGGCTAGGCCCAACTGAAAATAGCATATTTAAAATAGCCTGAAAAATACAGTACCTGCATTAATACTTTATAAAGCCACTACATGGAGTATAAGGTGCTTGTGATCAACATAAACAAAATGAGAACCTGGCACAAATATCATCTGAGCCCTAAAGCTAAGCTGCTGTTGTCCTGAAAGACAGAGTAGCAAAAAGTCCAAGTCCAGTAAAGTCCAATTCTTTTTGAACATGTTAGAATAAAATCTTCCTTGTCTTTCCACATTCTCTACTACATCAGAGCAACCAATTAGTATTCATCTGAAAAGATGTGCATCTTTCCAATTTTAAGCTACTGTTAATAGTACAACACAACAAACTTGTCTTTATATTAAATTCTCAAACAAGCTTCTAGATCTATCCATTATATTGATAAAGGCAAATCTTACTAAAAAGTTCAAAGCATGAATCAGTAAGTCTACGAGTTTCAATTTTAAAAGGAATAACCATCATAGCAATAAGCATGAGAGAGCTATGAAGTTATAAACTCCACACGATTTATGTAAGGTAAAAACAGGAATACAAGCAGTCCTTTTAATGTCCACCTAGCTTTCATACGTGTTTAAAAATGCTAAACTCTGCCTTCTTTTTAAATATTCTTAGAAAAATCTCAGCTAATCACATCTGATCATATGGATACAGACCAATATCTGTATATGCTGCATATATGAATTACTCTTCTGCCAAATAACTCCTCAGACGTTGCTATCCAGCATCTCGTACATTACTTTTATTATAAGCAAATGAACTTGTATATAGTTTCAAAACCACAAAAGCATAGGAAGGACTGGGCACACACATGGAAACAGTCTGCCAGGAGAGGTGGGTATGTAGCTTGGCAGAATACAGGGGAAGAAACACAGACCAAGCGAGGCTGCAGAGAATTCAACAGGACAAACGGAATTTATCCTGCGAAAACTAATCCTCAGTGGAGATAACAAGATGACAGTGCAAAATAGAAAGCAAAACAAAAGCTCAATTCAAGTATTTATGGAAAAGCAAACGCTGCCAGGACCACATACAGTGTACCAATCCTGTAAAAAATTGTGATCTAGAATATAAAATGCAGCTCCTGCAGAAACAGTTTGTGTGTCTAGCAGATATGGCACACAAAATAATTGGAAAAAACAGATTCTCCTCACAACTCTACCACCGCTTGTTCTGTATCACAGAACATGCCACTTAAACTGTCCCTCCATTTATGGAGCACACTGCTACTGCAAATTACCAGCCTCACAGAAACCTTGTCAGACTTAAAGAATCTTGCACGAGAAGAGCTATAAAATTTCAAAATATTATGACTCACCTACCCATTAAAACCTAAACTCACAAATATGCTTGCAACACCCACACCAACTTTTCTGGAGTCACTCTAGTTTAGGAGTTGTCTGCATACAGAACAAAACTGTAACGCCAACTACGTATTATTTACCTTTAAAATCACATTCAGACAGAACCATATAAACCACACTAGGATCTAGGTCAGAAAACATCTCAGACATGCTGTTGAAGAGCTCTTCCTTATTGATGCCATACGCTGCTTGTGACACCGAGCGGCTTGGGTACCCCTGGGATACAGCAATAGCAGTTCTGACAAAAGTGCTATTCTTCCGAGAAGGACTCCCACCAGTTTTCCTCCTCCGTGGCATTTTGTTTTCTAAAAATCAGCTGGCTTTTGCTTTAGTTTGTCCACATGAAGCTGACAGCACCAAGCTCTGAAATCACAAAAACCTTCTTGTAACTGGGATACACATAACAGAAAGAGCAGACCTGGAAAAAAGAGAACAGAGAAATTTTAATAAAAATACACAGTCACATTCCCATGTCTCCTATTTAGATACCCAAGAGATTAAAAAAAGAAGACAAAAACAAAAAACAACCACATAAGTATCCAGGAAAGCATTTTCTAGAAGGCTGCCTTTCTTCTTTTCAAGTGGCTGACAGCTAAATAGCAGCCTTATTTTCCAACTAACTGTATCTGGGAGAGTAAACAAATAAAATTAACTTTAAAATTCAAATCCAGAAAAGTAAAGGAAGCAATACAAGGCAGCCAGTTCACAAATACTCCTCTGCTAACATCTACTGATGACCAGTTAACATGTTGGAACACATATTCTGTCAAGATTCAGATATTTGGCTCCTGTTTTCAAAATACTGGAAAATAAAACAGACATCTCCAAATCTTCCAAAAGTCCCTCATGACTTCCTCCCCTGATTGTTATATGAGTAACTAGCTGGGGTTCTTCAATATTCAAATACTGCCATAGGTTGCCCAGGGATGCTGTGGAGTCTCCCAAGCATGCAGGTTCTCAAAACCTAACTAAACATGGCCCTGAGCAATGGCCCCCTGCTTCAGGTGTCCCTGCTTGAGCAGGTGGGTTGAACCAGATGACACCCAGAAGTACCTCCCAACCTCATGCTATGTGTTTGTTTTTTTTTTTTTTTTTAATTGTTAAAAACATTTTACAGTTTTATAAGCCAAAAAGCAAGAAGAGACTTCTGCCCACCTCCCCACCTCTCCCATAAAGCCTTTGAATGTATCTAGTTAAAACATTATGACATATGTAATAATTGCAATTACCACATTAATCCTGTATAGAAAAGGACAGTGATTATTAATTGAAGTACAAGCACAGAGTACAGCACAATCTCACTTTTTTCCATCAAACAATATGAGAGCTCTGTTGTGTTCTAGTGATGCTCATCATAAACTATATTTTCTACCAATAATTATTCAGAAGACTAGAAAACCTTGATAAGGCTCAGAATCTGAAATTAGTTACAGCAAAGAGTCACTATTCAGCAGTAACAGCTACAGAGTAGGCCATAAAATGCTTGTTCCTATATAAAGTATATTGCCAGGGATGACCAGCTCAACATGTGCAGATAAATCCATGGCAGCAATTCCAAGTTCACTTAGACCTTCCCTCCCTGGATCACTGGCACACAAATGATGACACCAGATCAGTGTCAGATTCAGAGAGTACTTCTCCATTACTCTCTGCCAATCTCTTCCAGCAATCAAGAGAAGTATCATTTAGAGGCAAGGGGACTGTTCTATTCCTGAGTCATAGCAACTGATGTAAGAATAACAGACAGCTGCAGGATCTCAGGGGTTTCTACCATATAGCATATGGACTTTAGACAAATGAGACGGATGTCTGGAACAATGAAGAGGTCAAGGAAATCTGAAATGCACAACAAGAAAACAATACGCAGGAAAAGGAAGAGGTAGACTTCCAAAAATAAAGGAGAAATGACAGTGGAAGATGCTAGTGGCCAGACTGAGCTGGGACAACTGTAGCTGTTTTTTTTCATTACACTTTTTTGGCCCACCACTCTGACTAGCTATCCTTATACGATTCTTTACTGTCCCAAAGAAGTATTCAACTAAAACAATAAAAACCTCATAGTAAGTCATGTTTTTCAAACTTGCATTTCTAACTGATTCATCCTACAGCCAGTAAAACAGGTTGACACCTAACATCAAACAATGTGTCAGTGCTAAAAAATGTGCCTGTTCTGAACTAAAACAGGTTCAGTGACAATGAAGAGATCCTGTAGGGAAGGTATTCATGCACCTTGACATTACTGAGCACCAAGAGACTTTAAACAGAACACTCCAAGTGCTGTCAACATTTTAATCCAACTCTCTTATAACAAACAAGCCTGCAAGGCCCTGCTACTGAAAAACATGCTCTGCAGCTAAGACGTTTAACAACTGATTGCCTTGCCTCACTCTAGGATGTACCCTTCCCAACGCACTTCCTGCACTAGGCTGTGTATCCCACGTGTATCAGGAGGCCTTACTCTAATGACCTCTCGAAGCCACATACTTCAGTCTGCATGAACCTCAACCAGAGAACTCAGTGCCTCGCTTCAGGACTACGGAGGTCTAAGCTGTATGTTCCAATTACATCACAGAAGGGTAAAGAAGGCAGAAAGGAAAAAGAGACTGGTCACTTCAGAACTTCTACACAGGCCAACACCTTGGTGACTACAACTACATCCACACATACTAAGGCAACGCACAGATCCACATTTTGCCCCGTCTCTCCATCTAAAGTCTTAGTAAAATTGTAGAAATTATTAAACCTATTAAAAAGATCAGCATTGCCCAGGATTTAATTTAAATAAGGTATTTACCATGGCCAGGACCACAGAAGCCTTTGCTTACCACAGTACTTTCAATGGAATTCCTGGGCAGATTCCTGGACGATTTCTCCTAATAGTATGTCCAAGCACAATAAAAGTATATAAAAAGTGATGCCTGCACATGCAAAGCATACTGTACTGTATTTTGTAAGAAATAATACTAACACATACAACTGAAAGGAGTAATTTTCACTTACTGTTAAGAGCATGCCCTGAACTTCACAGAGCATTTCATCTAGGGACTTGCCTTTTCATATATTCAAGTTTCTGTTCTTGAAAATTAGTTTACTATGAAAGCGGAAATAATTTTGAATAACCTAATAGCCAGACTTACAGGTCACCTATACTCATTGGTTCTGGATAACATAATATGAATCAACCTGCAGTTTGCTGTGGATGAGATTTTTTTTTTTCTGCCAAGATGAAAATGGAGTTGTAATAACAATGATTCAGAAGAGCAGGGCTGTGCTGAACAGACTGAAAGGGAATTCTAGACAATGAGCCATAGGCTGCAATCTACTTGGAGGTTTGCTAGTCAGTTCTGGGTACTGCTGTTCAAGGTACATCCAATTAGAGCCAACAGCTGTTTCCTTTCAGCACTGAGGAGAAACAATACTCTTGTGGCATTCCCAACTTCACCTTTAAAAACAAAGCAGAACAAAATCCACCAGCACCTCCTCATTCATAGTTCTTCAGAAATACATATCTGACAGGAAGGTTCTCCCAATGTAATTCGACTATCACAAACAAGCATATGTACAAAAATGTGCCCAGATGAAAATTACCTTCCAAATTAAGCAACCTTACAAATAAAATTGATATTAAGACACCAGCATTCTCTACAAAATAAGTTGGTCTTCAAACCTTACCAAACTAGAAGAGAAAAAGTAGATTTGTCAGGTCAGGGCATTTTAACACCATATCTTTCTAGCTGGACAGAGTTTATTTCTGATGGTAGATTTGGGGCTGTTTTGGTACTATTATTATTATCATTGTTGTTATTATCATCTTGGTTTGCTTTTGGTTCTGGGGGTTTTAAAAGTTTTTTTTTTTAATTTTAAACTACATAAAGTATTTATCATGTAATGTTCATTTGAATCTTCCAGCTTTTAAGAAACACACACATACATATATATATATATATACTGACATGCTGGGGATAGTAAAACAAAAAAATAATTATCTGCATTTGTACTTCAAATAAAATAGTAATGGCACAGAACTTACATTTTCAGCTTCACTGAGTTGCCCTGCAGTGCGTCCCTTCTCATTTTTCCAAAACCACCAGTGATGGCACATTCAATAAAGATCTGCTGTTAAAAAGTATAATGCACTCTTCTGTCAGGAAACCATAGTTTAAAACATACAAATCAGTTGTCAGCAGAAGTGGATGCTCCCTCCTGACAAAGGAATCATCACAACACTAATTAAAATTGCTATTTTACTCACAGACCACACAACTTTAAGCAAAGTTTTAACACTAAGCAAGGCACATAATTGGTTTTAGTAGATTAAGCACAGCTAACATTTCACTGTAATGGTTTGAAAGCAAACCAGTGAGAGACTCCAAGTCAAGAAATACAATTTAATAGGAAAAATAAAATAAATGCAATAATACCAAGAAACACCACAGAGTCAGAATACAGCCTGACACTCTGTAGTTAGGGTGGTGGTAGCAGTCCAGATGAAGCAGTGGTCTCGTAGAAAAGATCTGGTAGCTCTTGTCCTCTGGAAATCCAGTGGTAAGACGCCCTGTGTTGTACTGAACCCCAGTTTATATCCAGGTGGGAGCACTTGGCTCCTCCCCCTGGGTGGAGCATCTCACAATGGGTTGATATCAGTCTGAGTCATGCAGTGGGTCCTTGATGGTCCATTAAACAGAAATAGCTCCTGGGGGGAGCTCTGTATGAGTCATGGGGCGAGGCATGGATGGGCCCATTAACAGGGAGGACTCCTCCTGCTGGGTGGGAAGGTGTTAACATCTCCCCTGACCTTGAACCTCTTTCCTTATCTGTTATAGCCTGGGGTGTGAGGTCTGTCCTGGGCAGCTGCTACCCATGATTTTGTTAACAGCCCATGAGCAGTGACATAGAGGGTACAGAATACACAGTTTTCGGTTCTACCCACATAAGGATAAACTGGTCCCAGCCCCTGTAACAATGACACTGACAAAGTACCAAACATGTCAAGTTGAGCTCAAATATAAGTTTTCCTAAGGATAAGAACACCTACTTGATTTCAGCTAATGATTTCTCATTTTAAATGCTGACTTCTATCAGGTAAAGAAAAAAACATGATCAAAGCAGAATTAGTTAGGAATAAAAGTAAGTTTCCCCACCTGTCATTCCACTTGATTCTTCACAGTTCTTAACCATCTTGAAAAGGTCTACATATCCATGCCGGTCAAGAAAAGATTTGTTCCATCACGCGGGGAATTAGGCAAAGAAAACCTAGTACATCAAAATCAGAATACGTTACACCGCTAATTTGCAAT